TCTCTTGCCCATTTAATGGATTTCAGCCCTTTGTCAAAGATCAGCTGACCATAGGTCGAGGGATCTATTTCTGGGTTCTCAGTTCTATTCCACTGATCTGTGTGTCTGCTGTTGTACCAATACCAGGCTGTTTTGACTACAGTGGCTGTATAGTAGGTTTTGAGATCTAGTGGTGTTCTTTGTTCTTCAATAGTGATTTGCTTATCCAAGGTCTCTTTCCTTTCTATATAAAATTAGTGATTGGTTTTTCCATATCCTTAAAGAATGTTGATGGGATCTCAATTGGGATTGCATTGTGTGGTGTAGGAAATTACCTGGTATGGCTTTTCTAGCCATAAGTCTTTGTAAACTCCATGGTGGAATTTGCCATGAGAAACTCAGTAGCTCCTGATTGTTAAAGTTATCCACCTGGGGTATTTCTGTTGAGAGTGGCATGAAGAAATCTTCTGGGAAATTCTCTTTCTCTCAGGTGTATAGAATCCTGATGTTGGGATTGGTTGGTTTGGCCACTCTGCCAGACTCAGAAGGAGCCCTTCTCGAGGCAGAAGGAGTCTCTCACTGCCGGCTGAGAAGGACAAGAAGTCTCTCTGACTGCTGACTGAGAAAGACATGCTGCTGAGAGAAACACTCCTGAGAGACCCACACTGCTGAGAGACATGCGAGACACGCTACTGAGAGAGAGACTGCTGGCTGCTAAGTGAGACGGCTGGCTGCAAGAGACTGAGTACATTTCTGAACTTGAATTTTAGCCCTTTGCTTCCCTAAAAACCTCATAATCTGTGAATTTTGTGTGGCCACTGCAGCAAATTATCAAACCCAGCAGAGAGGTGGTGGGTGCTGTGGGAAGAACGGTTGGTGTCAGGGTTGGTAACAGGATTGGAGAGAGTCAGCATGTCTGGCCTCGCAGGAATAGGCCTTGGGCTAATGGTGGTGATTCTGTCTTCTTCTTGTGGGGTTAGAGGAGGTCAGAAGATGGTGCCTCCCTGCCCCTTTGGCACATTGAATGTATAGATTGCTTTGGGTAGTATTGCTATTTTCTCAATGTTCAATCTTCTATCCATAAGTGTGGTCTGTTCTTCTATTTATGTAGATCTCTTAAGGTTTTTTAAAGCAGTCTTTTGTAGTTTTCTTTGTGTAGGTCTTTTGTGTCCCTGGTAAGATTTATTCCCAAGTATTTTATTTTTTTAGTAACTATTTAACAACAACAACAACATTGTAAATGGTATTGATTTCCTTTTCAGCAATCTCTTTGCTGGTATAGAGGAATCCAACTGATTTTTCTACGCTGATCTTGTATTCTGCCACTATGCTCAGTCTCTCTAGTTAGTTAATTAATTAGTTAATTAACTAATTAATTAGTTAATTAGTTCCAGTAGTTTTCTTGCTCAGTCTCTTGGGTTTGCTACGTATATGATCACATAATCAGCAAATAGGGATGGTTTGACTTCTTCCTTACCAATTTGGGTGCTTTTGATTTCCCTTTCTTGCCTATTGCCTTGGCTAGGACTTCCAATACAATGTTGAATAGAAGTCGGAATAGAGGGCATCCTTATCTGGTTCCTGTTTGTAAGGGGAATGGCTTCAGTTTCTGTCCATTGAAAATAATGTTGGCTGTTGGTTTTGCATATATGCCCTTTATTATGTTGAGAAATGTCCCTTCTCTTCCTGTTTTGCTGAGAGTTTTAATCAGAAATGGGTGTTGGATTTTATCAACTGCCCTTTCTGCATCGATTTATATGATCATGTAGTTCTTTTCTTTTGTTTTATTTATGTGATGGATGATGTTGATTGTTTTTCTAATGTTGAACCATCCTTGCATACCTGATATGAACCCCACTTGGTCATAATGTATTTTTTTAATATGTTGTTGGAGTCTATTGGCTAGGATTTTGTTGAATACTTTTGCATCTGTATTCATGAGGGATATTGGTCTGTAGTGTTCCTTTTGAGTGATATCTTTGCCTGGTTTTGGTATCAAAGTTATGCTTGCTTCATAAAATGAATTTGGGAGGATTCCATCTTTTTCTCTGTTCTGGAATAGTTTGAGCAGGATTGCTGTCAGTTCTTCTCTGAATGTTTGGTAGAATTCTCCAGTGAAACCATCTGAGCCAGGGCTTTTATTTGTTGTTGTCATTGGTAATTTTTTCATGACCTGTTCAATTTCTTCTTTTGTTATGGGTCTGTTAAAATTGTCCATCTCAATATGTGTTAGTTTAGGTAAGTGTGTGTTTCTAGAAATCTGTCCATTTATTCTAGATTTTCAAATTTCTTGGAGTACAGTTCTTCATAGTATCCTGATATTATCCTTTTTATTTCTGTTGGTTCTGTTGTGACGTTGCCCATTACATTTCTTATTCATGCTATTTGTATTATCTCCCTCTTTTCCTTTGTTAAATTTGCCAGTGGTTTGTCAATTTAATTAATCTTTTTTTTTAAAAAAAACAACTTTTAGTGTTTTTTTTTTTAGTGAACTTTTGGATGGATGATGTTCCTGATGTCATCCCACAACTCGTCTCATCTTCAGTTATTGATATTCATTGAGTCAAATCTTTTCTTCAGATGGTCTCTAAATTTAGGTGGGGTATTATCAAGGTCATAATTTTGTTCTCACAGACTTTTTTCAATTTTCTTCTGTTCCGTAGTCAACTCCTAACCTTGTTTTTGCTTGATGATATGAGCTTCTCCATCACCTTTTTCCACAGATTTAGTCAAATTGGTTCTTTTATATTCCATCTGGTCAGGTCCACATGTATAGTTGCCATTTATGTTGTTGAAAAAAAGGTATTTACAATGAATAAGTCATTGATTGTGTAGAATTCTATCATGTGATCTCTGGTGTAATTTCTCTCACCAAGGCCATCTTTTCCAACTACCAATATGCTTCTTCTTTGTTTCCAACATTGCTTTGGAATATTGATTTTGGATTTTGTTTCCAGCATTGATTCTGGGCTGTGGATTTGCCATGTAGGTTTGAAAGAAAGAGATGTGGGTAAGGATATTGAGGGTTTTATCTATAAAAGTTTGGAGGCATGGGCCACAGGGTTTAGGTTAGTTTGAGAGAGGGAAGCAGAGATAGGAAGGGCTTGGTGGATTGGGAGAATGTGTACCAGCACACACACTGGAGGTCTCCCAGAAGTCCAAACATGACTGTAGTGAGAGTAAGAGAGAGCATGGTGGCACAGTGTTGTCACAGCAGGGCGCCTGGATATAGCCTCACACATGGTGCTAAAGGAGTCCTGGTAGCACAATGAGTAAGTGTTTGGCTGCTAACTGGAGAGTCAGAGATTCAAACCCACCAGCTGCTCTGTGGGAAGAAAGATGAGGCAGTCTGCTTCTGTAAAGATTGACAGCTTTAGAAACCCTATGTGAAAGTTCTCCTCTGTCCTGTAGGGTCACTATGAGTCAGAATTGACTTGATGACAGTGGATATTCTTTAGGGAAGCAGACATTCTCCCACATAACATCAAGAACATGGTGCTAAATAATCACATGAATGAATGAGATTTCACAAATAATGAATTGTTAGGGAAGACCCTTGGGATAGAAGAAGTCAAAAAACTGTGAGGTTGTGATATGAAAGTTAACTAATGTAATCAGAATATTGTCCGATGACCAACAATGATGAAGGTGCCTTAGAACCGGGCATTGCTTTGTTTTGTTGTGTGTAAGGTTGCCATGAGTGGAAGACAACAGCAAGTAGCAATAATAGCAACATTACAGACTTCGGGTGAAGAGGGCCTGGGCTGTGGTGGACTTGGCACTGTGAGTGGAGGAACAGACCAGGAAATGCTCTTACTCTACAATGGAGGTGGCATTGCCACCTGCTTCTGCCTTCCTCCTTACCTGGGGTTTGTTATAAACAGCCTCCAGGTATGTAGACTTTGGGATGAGCCAGTGCTTAATTAAGGATGGAGGGTGGAGGCATGCACTTTCTGTGATGAGGCTGAGGTAGGAATTTTTGTTGCCCCTGGGTTCTAAGTCTCAAAGTATGGTGAAAGGAATGGCATGGAGAGGAGAAGCTTTGGGGTCATGGTAGAGAAAGAGAGAGTAAGTTAGGGTGCAGGGAAGAATGGGTGGCTCCAGAAGTTTGCAGCTTGGAGGGTGACTTGCCAGGATTGCAGAGCCTCGAAGTTCCAGACAGTCATCGTGATACGGGCTCTAAGGTCCCTCCTGGCCCAGGCCCAGGCCAGTTGCCTGGTTAGTAGGGCTGACTTGGGCTGTGCCAGGTTGATGGCTTTGGAGGCCTGACAATAAGAATTATCCTCCTGAAGCTGGAGTTTCTTTCTAAAGGCACAACCTGTTCAAAGTCATTTTTATCCAGTCCTAAACTGGTATAATTTCAGGAAGATAGTCTTTTGTGTGAATCTTCAATTTTTTTTTTCCCTCAAGTTTTACATTCTCTTAATTAAAGCACCCAAACACTTCTGAGAATATGTGCAGAATTGAATCAGTTCAATAACTAACATTTCAGGATGTGAGCAGCTTCTTAATTTGCTCTTTGCTGGGAAATTCATGGTGGGAGGGGGCGGGGGGGAGGGGTTCTTCTGATGAGTAGTTTCTAATGTGAAGGAGCCCGAGAGTCCGCTTCTCAGTCTTAAGTGTTTTGGGTCAAAGGCAACTGAGGAAAGCAGTCATTGTCCTTCAGGTTTTTTTCCTGGATTATTTGCTATTATTAACAAAGGGTAAAATGAAAGAATGATTCAAGCTGTTTATCAGCCCAGCCAAGGAATTATCTTATTCACCTTATTTCTCTCTGGCACTTAAAATATTGATCACTTATTAGACTGCAAGTACTCCTTCAATAAAGAAAGAAAAACAAAGCTCTGCACTGAGAATTGTATACACTGCACTATTCTCGTTAAATGCTAGGATAAGCTTGAATTAGATGTAAGTGCTGGAGACGAAATCAGCTCTTTCTGAGATGTGCGGCAGCTGGATGGAAGGAGAGACATTGGGTTTCTGTGTGGGCTGAATGCATCTTTCTGCCTCTGTGTTTTCAGGTGGTTTGAAGTGTCCTGTTTGCAGCTTTGTTTATGGCACCAAATGGGAGTTCAACAGGCACTTGAAGAACAAACATGCACTGAAGCTGGTAGAAAACGAAGGAGACCCCAAGTGGGAGGTAACTGTTAAAGTGTGGCATTAACTGGAGCTACACAAGTTATTTATACAGTTTACTTGGAAGAACACGCACGAATAGCTAGGAAGGCCTTTATGAAACGGCAGTGGGAGGACAGTCCTACCAGATATTAAGACACATTATGAGACCTCTGTAACCATAACTGTATAGTGATGGTATGCACATACATAAACAGTCTCAGGGAACAGAACAGAGAAAGCAGAACTGCCCAGATCATACATGGAAATTTAGTGTGTGAAAAAGATGACTTCTTCAGTTGGTCACATTAGGGTCCTTGTGAGTTGGAATCCATTCAAAGGCAGTGGGGTGGTTTTTTGTTTGTCTGAAGTTGGTAGTAAAAAGATGGATTTTTTAATAAGTGATATAACCAAAAATCAAACCAAACTCACTGCCGTCGAGTCAGATCTGACTCATAGCGACCCCTCCTTGGGTTTCCAAGGCAGTATCTCTATGGAACTCACTGCCTTCAGGATAGCTAAATAACCTTATGGAAAAAATAAAAATTAGATCTGTTTTTCATAATTTGTAGGAGATCAGTTTCAAGAGGTAGAGATTTAAATGCAAAAGCAGTAATGTTTTACTACCACTAGAAGCAAACGTGAGTGAATGGATCTACAGACAGACTATGGGAAAATTCGCAAACTATCATTCAAAATCCAGATTCAATAAGGGAAAAAATTGGAAGAAAATTGACTGCATGAACAATTTTTAAACATTTTATGGAAAATAAAAAGCACATACACATAGTAAAAAGACAAGGAAAAAAAAACCATTTACAGTCCTATCATAGAAAAAGGATGGCTATTTTTACAATATAAAAGGCCTCTAAGAATAGTGATGAAAAAGATCAACAACCCAACAGAAGTATTGGCAAGAGATAAGAGTAGTTCATAGCACAAGGAATGTAAATCACCTTGAATAGATGAAAACACGATCAACCTGACACATAATAAGAACAATGTTAATTAAAACTAGACAGATAGAATTTCTCACCTATTGGATTGGCAAGAATTTAAAAGTTGGACAACAACTTTCTTGGCAAGTCTGTGGGAGGAATGCATATTTTCATAATTGATGGTGGGAAGGCAAATGGTACAACCTCTGTGGAGGGGGAATTTAGCAAAATTTAGCAAAGTTACAAATGTATTTCTTCACTCACTCACTAACTAACCAACCCTTAGAAAATTATCCCAAAGTTACACTGGCAAAAACAAGAGCGCCTGCACAAGGCTGCCTGCTGCAGCACATAGCTGGAAAGAAAACAATGTCACGCACAGGGACTGGGTGAAGACATCATGGCGCATACACAGTGGAGAAACTTGCAACTGTAAAAGGGAGGAAAGGATATCCATGGAGTTCTAGGGAATGGTCTTCAGGATATACTGTTAAGTGAAAAAAGTAAGGTGAAGAAAAGTGTCTGTGTAGCTTATATTTTTAAAATGTGGAAGGATAAATAGAACACTTAAAAAAAGGAACATGTGTGACAAATGTGATTCATGTGTGCTAACTGTGATTCAGATGAATGACAATTCCACTGAAAGGGGCAGGGGAGAAAGGAGCTGACTTAAGTAATTTTGGAAAACAGTGTTTTTGCTAAATACTCCAAGGCTAAATCTAATCTGTCAGCCCACCATTCATCTGTCAGATTGTCGTACTGTGGTGGCTTGCGTGTTGCCATGAGGCTGGAGGCTGTGCTATCGGTATTTGAAACACCAGAAAGGTCACCCATGGTAGACAGGTTTCAGTGGTGTTTCCAGACTAAGACAGACTCAGAAGAAGGACAGGGCCGTTCATTCTCAAAGAATTGGCCGGTGAAAACCTTGTGAATAGCAGTGAAACACTGTCTGATATCCCCAAACCCACTGTTGTCGAGTCGGATCCAACTCATAGCTACCCCTCCTTGGATTTCCAAGGCAGTATCACTATGGAAGTAGATTGCCCGATCTTCCTTCCAAGGAGTGGCTGGTGGGTTTGAACTGCCAGCCTTCTGGTTAACAGTCAGATACCTTAGGCACTACGCCACCAGAGCTCCTATGTCTGATATATTACTGGAAAACTTTATGAATAGCCCTGAAAAATTGTCCAATACAGTGCCAGCAGATAAGCCCCTCAAGTTGGAAGGCACTGAAGATACACCTGGAGAAGGGCTGCCTTCTCAAAATAGAGTTGACCTAAATGACAGAGATGGAATAAAGCTTTCAGGTCCTCCATCTGCTGATGTGATGTGTCTCAAAATGGGAAGAAACAGCTGCAAATATCCATTAATAATTGGAACATGCAATGTATGAAGAATGAATGTAGGAAAATTGGAAGTGGTCAGAAGTGAAATGGAACACATGAAGATCAACATCCTAGGCACTAGTGAGCTGAAATTAGAGAGATGAATGGTCATTTTGAATTAGACAATCTTATTATCTACTGGGCTGGGAATGACAAATTGAAGAGGAATTCATAGCATTCATCGTGACAAAAAACGTTTCAAGATCTATCCTGAAGTACAGTGCTGTCAGTGATAAGGTAGTATCCATATGTCTACAAGGAAGACCAGTTAATACTACTATTATTCAAATTTATGCACCAACCACTAAAGCCAAAAGAAGGAAATTGAAAATTTTTACCAACTTCTGCAATCTGAAATTGACCAAACATGCAACCAAGATGTATTGATTATTACTGATGATTAGAATGCAAAAGTTGGAAACAAAGAAGAATTACCAGTAGTTGGAAAACATACCCTTGGTGATAGAAATGACACCGGAGATCGCATGATAGAATTTTGCAAGACCAGTGACTTATTCATTGCAAAGACCTTTTTCAACAACATAAATGGCAGCTATACACGTAGATCTAGCCAGATGGAATACACAGGAATCAGATTGACTACATCTATGGAAAGAGGTGATAGAGAAGTTCAATACCGTCAGCCAAAACAAGGCCAGGAGATGACTGTGGAATAAATCATGAGTTACTTATATGCAAGTTCAAATTGAAGCTGAGGACAATTAAAACAAGTCCACAAGAGCCAAAATATGACCTTGATTACATCACATTAGGGACCATCTGAAGAACAGATTTGAGGCATTGAACACCAATGACCGAAAACCAGACAAATTGTGGGATGACATCAAGAACATCATCCATGAAGAAAGCAAAAGGTCATTAAAAAGACAGGAAAGGAAGAAAAGACCAAAGTGGATGTCAGAAAATACTCAGCAACTTGCTCTTGAATGGAGAGTAGCTAAAGCAAACAAGAAATGACAAGATAAAAGAGCTGAAAAGAAGATTTCAAAGAGCAGCTCGAGAAGACAAAGTCAGTTATTACAATGAAATATGCAAAGACCTGGAGTTAGAAAACCAAAGTGGAAGAACACACTCAGCTGAAGTGAAGACAAAATTCAACCCCTGAGTTGTAGTATTGAAAGATTCTGTGGGCGCAGGAAGAATCGAAAGGAGATGGAAGGAAAACATAGAGTCATTGTACCAAAAAGAAATGGTTGATGTTCACGTATTTCAGGAAGTGGCATATGATCAAGATGACATTGAAGAAAGAAGTCAAAGTTGCAATGAATTAATAATGAAAAACAAGGCTTCAGGAATTTATGGAATACCCATTGAGATGTTTCAACAAACAGATGCCACGGTGGAAGCACTTACTCATCTATGCCAAGAAATTTGAAAGACAGATACCTAGCCAGCTGACTGGAAGAGATCCATATTTGTACCCATTCCAAAGGAAGATGATCCAACAGAATGTGGAAATTATTGAATAGTATCATTAATATCACATGCAAGTAAAATTTTGCTGAAGATAGTTCAAAAACAGTTGCACCAGTATATTGACAGGGAACTTCCAGAAATGCAAACTGGATTCAGAAGAGGATGTGAAATAAGGAATATCATTGCTGATGTCAGATGGATCTTGGCTGAAAGCAAAGAATACCAGAAAGATGTTTACTTGTGTTTTATTGACTATACAAAGGCATTCAACTGTGTGGATCGTAACAAATTATGGATAACATTGAGAAGAATGGGAATTACAGAACACTTACTGTGCTGATGAGGAACATGTACATAGACCGGGAGGCTGTCATTCAAACAGAACGAGGGGATACTGCATGGTTTAAAATCAAGAAGGGAGTGTGTCAGGGTGGTATCGTTTCACCAAGCTTATTCAGTCTGCATGCTGTGAAAATATTCTGAGAAGCTGGATTATATGAAGAAGAACATGGCATCAGGTTTGGAGGAAGACTCATTAACAGCCTGTAGTAGGCAGACAACACAACCTTGCTTGCTGAAAACACTTAGTGATGAAGATTAAAGACTACAACTTTCAGTATGGATTATATCTTAACATAAAGAAAATGAAAATCGCCACAATTGGACCAATAAGCAGCATCATGATAAATGGAGAAAAGATTGAAGTTGTCAAAGATTTCATATTATTTGGATCCACAATCAACCAAAATGGAAGCAGTGGTCAAGAGATCAGACAAAAAATTGTGCTGCGCAAATCTGCAAATGAACTCTTTTACGTGCTGAAGAGCAAAGATGTCTCTTTGAAGACTAAGGTGTGCCTAACCCAAGCCATGCTATTTTCAATCACCTCATATGCATATGAAAGCTAGACAGTGAATAAGGAAGACTGAAGAAGAGTTTATGCTTTTGAATTGTGATGTTGGCGAAGAATAATGTAAGTCCCATGGACTGCCAGAAGAATGAACAAACTGTTCTGGAAGAAGTGCAGCCAAGGATGCTCCTTGGAAGCGAGAATGGCCAGACTTCATGTCACCTACTTTGGTCAGGTTGTCAGAAGGGACCATTCCCCAGGGAAGGATACCATGCTTGGTAAGGTGGAGGGTCAGCAAAAAAGGGGAAAACCCTCAGCAAGGTGGAGGGACACAGTGACCGCAATGCTGTGCTCAGGTTTAGCAAGGATTGTGAGACTGGTGCAGGATTGGTCAGTGTTTTGTTCTTTTGGACAT